CGGGAGCCGGCGCGGCCGCCAGATCTCGCGACATCCCACAAACTCGCGGTGCTCCCTCAGGTTTTGGCGGAGCGGCGGAGGGTGCCGGGGGCGAGCGCGGGCCTGCGCTTCAGCCCGAGGTGTGGAAATCGAACGTGCGGTGCCCCAGGCAGCGGCCTCGAGGGTGCGTGCGGGGCTCCCCACAGCCCCGGGCTTACCCCCGCTAAACGGCACCGGGCCCGCCGCCCGCAGCGCTCGGCCCCCCAGACCCCTCGCTCTCCGGCGGAGAGGCCCCTTTTGCCCGGGAGGGCCTGCCCGCGGGGCCAGGACGCAATTTGTAATTAACCCTCGGATCGAGGGCAGTGTTGTTTGCGGACCAGAGATGGGTTGAGACCAGACCAAAGAGCAAGCGCAAGGGCTGCCGCTAGATGGCAGTTCAGGATGGGAATAGAGACGAGCACGTCGCTTAATAGGTATCCAGGAGATGAGACCGAAGGGAGTCGTGTTTATACATTGCAACTGGTACTTATTGCACCAGCATTAAAAAAAAAAAAAAAAAAAAAAAATACTATTTTTTTCTATTTTAGGCTGTGTTTGCCACTAGAACTGCTTAGGAAGTTTGACACAGCAGCAGTTCAATAAACACGAAACATTTCTTGAAAGTGGTACCCAGCTCCAGCAAAAGGCTCATTGAGAAGAGTTTGACAGAGTGGGGGAGAGAGAGAAGCGTTTTCCCAAGGGGCCAGTAGTTCGGTGTCCAAGCACCTCCCTGGCATGAGAGAGTCCGGGTTCAAGTCTGTACTTAGAAATCAAAGCCGGTGTAAATGCTATGACCATAGGGCTATTTTTAGATCTCTATTTTCTAAAACCCCTTAAAGCCTTGGATTTCATGCAGATCTGAAGAATAAAATATTTGAACTATCACAAATAGCTTAATTATTTAAGGAAGGTGTCCCTGCCCATGGTGAGGGGGCTGGAACTAGATGATCTTTAAAGTCCCTTCCAACCCAACCCATTCTATGAGTCTATGAAATATTTAGGTGGCTGAACACTGTAGAGCTCTAATTGTGACTGCAGCTCTCCCTTCACCTGCCTTAAAACGTGCCCTTTACTTTGCTTCCAAGAGGAAGCTTTCTGCAAAGTCTCCCAAGTAACTTGTAAGCACCAATCTCAAAGCCAGGAAACCTGCTGGGATGCAGGCAAATATTATTTCTTCTTTTCATATACAAAACTGCCATGAAAACAAGAGTTAGGAGCCTGGACACACAAGAACACACAGTAGCTTTTGGTCATGGATGCTTACTTAGAGATACTCAACATCAGTTTTCACCAGTTAACACTTCTATCATCATCATCATCATCTATGGGATTAGAAGGCACTCAGTACACACAAGCATCTCAACAGTGATAATGTAAAGAAGGATCAGCACTGCCAAAATACATGCACGATTGCCTTTCTAAGTCAAGTGTTAGCAAAGAAAAATAGACAAGAAAAAGTGGCTCCTCTGGGGTCTCATGACTTAGAGGAAATAGTAAATACATAAAAAGAGATCTCAGCGATGACTCCCAACACTTTAGTAGTGTTTCAATTCTCCTTTCCATGGAAGAGCCGTAATATTTCCAACAGCACCGAGTTGCTAGATGCAATAGATTAAAACTAGCAAAAACTGAGGTTCTCAAACACTTCTATGGCCTTTCCCACCATAATGCAGGAATCTCCTGTCACAGCCCTCGTGATTGCGACTTGACTCCTTCATCACTTCTGCCCTCTCCTCTGCACATGCCTCCAGGTATGAAACCAGTGCTGGTGGAGGAAGCCAGCCTGTCCACGGGAAGCACCGTTGGAGCACCTGCTGCTTAGCAGCAGAGCACAGAAGCGACATTCAAACCTGGAAGAGAGGTGTGAGACATAAGTTGTTGACACATGGTGGGAATTATCACATGGTCGTTGTGTTCATCAACTGGATCCAAAACAAACTGGGCATGTCTTCTGTTACTTGCTTTTTCTGTTTCCACGACACGTGGAACTGTTTACGATCAGCCACTGAGGGCCTGCGGTAGTGGAAGTGTAGAGGTAGGAGCTTCTGCAACGGTGTCAGGAAATGAGATGCATGTTTTTATCTTTGTTGGGAGGTTAACTACTGCTCTCAGAGACAGCCTAGCACATATCTGGTGCTGAGATCAGGGCTGGGGCAGCTGAGCAAGTGCCCTTGTTGAGATTTACTCAGTTTATTCCCCCTTGCACCACCTGCCTTGAATATTTAGCTTGCTTGAGCTGTCTCAAAAAGAACTTTTGGATCCTAAGCAGAAAATTTAGGCACACGAGTCCAAAATCATGTTTCTGAAAACTAGGTAGGAGGCAGCTGCCTCCTAATCCTACTGGAATCTCAACTCCATGCAACTTCAACAAAACTCCCCTGGTGCCATCCCTCTTAACTCCCCTGCCTATACCACCCAGCCCTGGGGAGTGTGCTCTGCTTGCCCAGGAAGACCTCTCTCTCTCAGCAGGCACTGAAAGCAAAGATTCAGCTGTGTTCAGACCTGAACCATTCTTCTGCTTTGTGCTCTGGAAGCTCTTGCTGGTAGTATCCTCCCACCAGGGGCTCCTCATGAGAGCAGTAAAGGTTTCTACAATCTCCTGGGGCAGAAACCATGAGAAAGCGATAGTGCCCATCTTAACCCAGCGGCGTCAGGGACGCAGCACACGCCCCGGATGTGGGAGACCCACTTTCAATTTTCTTTGCTTGAGAGGTTTCAAAGCCACGTCCTAACTACAAGGCCAGAGGCTAGTCTGTGGCAAAGGTGTCCCCACCCTTCCTGCTGCGGGTTTTCTGCTGAGGAGCTTGCAAAGTGTTGGCTTCACACCTCTCCCCTGGATGTGCTCCTGGGGCTGCACCCATTCACCTGATCTGGAAGAGCCCAGCAGGCAGCGGGGAGTGTAAAGGTATGGGAATGTTGTATCAGGTAACTCCTGTTGTGGCTTTAGCTGTGAATAAAAAAGCAGCCTTATCAGTCCTACTGGCATTGCCAAGCCAGGTGTCATCCTAAGTGGCAATCAGTCAATGCCCTTGATAGCCACCATCCCTCCCAGCCAGAGGGAGGGCTGGGCACCAAGGCTCAATGCAGCTATGTTTTCCCAGCAGGTCTGGAACCAAAAAGAGAGCTCACTTCCAGCTGTAACACCCCTCTGCTCACCTTCCAGCAGCTCCAGAGTTTGACCACTGCCACAACAGACGTGACAGAAGCCAACCTGTACCTGTCCTCAGCCAGTTCAGTGGCCATGGCATTACTTTTAGCCCCTTTTCTGTCACAGCTCAAGTGCCTGGCTGTTGGCTCAAGTGCACATCTGCCTCTGTGGCCTTGCTTGGGGGCAGTAATTTCTAGCAGACAGGTAGAGAGGCAGGAGGGTCTGTGTTAAAATCTCCGTGACAGACAGATCCATTGGGGCTGATGAGCCAAGCTTAACTCCGGCTCGCCAAAACACACCGCATGTCCACCGTGCTACAGGAGAGGGTTTTGACCTGTTCTTTGCACAGGAACAGAAGCCAATTCCTCAAAACATTTTTTGTGGATTTCTTGTCATCTTACAAATCCAGTTTTTTTGAGTCCAAGGGTTATGTGGGGATATTAACCGTCATTCGCAAAATTACACACAAATGGGTTCCTTGTCCTAATGGTTAAGCAGAAAGTCTTGAAGACAAAGACATTTTAAATTGAAACCAGCTTGAATGCTGGAAACACTGAAGCTTTCCAGCCTTCAGACAGCTGCCTGCACTTTCTTTCCCTGCACTCCTCTCTCCTGGCCAGCCTACAGTCTCCTGTACTCCTCCTCCCAGATGCATCGCTCCTGCAGAGGCACAGCTGGCTCCGTTGTTTGCCTTTTCCTCCCATGGTCAGCAAAACAGCAGCATTTGGACACATGGTGATTTCTCCAGTTAAGCCACGCTCCACAACCATGTCCTAAAATCTACTGACCCAAGCAGTGAATCCCAGGAGCAAGATCTGTGGGCTGGGAAAAGGAGGAAATTCATCCCCAAAAGACGGACTGATCATCACTAGCAGGACAAAACACTAGGGGGGTTTTGCTCTGCATTAGTAGTTCTGTCTTGCTCACTTGAATAGCTCAGTTATGCTGTGTATTCCTCCCTGTGATCTTTAAAAAGTGATACTTCCATAGGGGGCCAAAACTTCTTTTCTTAAGCAGATATGTCATAAAGTTATTTTCATATATATCTCTGTATATATATTATATATCATTAGCATCTAAAACGTGAACGACTGGAATTCCCTTG